ATATATCATGTTTGAGTCGCTGACTTGTATCGCAAGTTATGAAAGATTTATAGAGAGGTGCCACATCAAGTGGGCCATTACCTATCTACCTTTTGTTTCGCATTTTACGTGCGTTTTGCTTATTTAAAATTTTGACCCATTGTGGGGTGGTAACAGAAGAAGTAGGTGGATTCCATGTGTACACCAGGTCTAATATCATTTCGATGGGGCACGTTTTAGCCGTGTCAAATGATGTGTACCCTCTGTAGTCATATGACTTAGGGTATAATTAGTGAATTTAGTAGGTTATAGATATTTTTTCCATCGAAAGGGCTGAGATGTCACCCGAACACTAGTGTTGAAGGTTTTTATGATCGAGAGGGCCAAATAAGCCATCGAGTGGTATTTGGTCGCTTGTTGGTCATTCGTCAGTTAGTGCCCAGAGAAATAAGTATTGGGGACCCAGGGGCAAGTATTATCACGGAAAGGGTTATCGGTAAGAGGGAAATGCATACCACCATCGATACCGATTAAATAGCTGAAGTTGACGGAAGTCATATTTTAGTGGAATAATAATAATAATAATAATAATAATAATAATAATAATAATAATAATAATAATAATAATAATAATAATATAATAATAATAATAAAAATAATATAATAATAATAATAATATAATAATAATAATAATAATAATAATAATAATAATAATATAATAATAATAATAATAATAATAATAATAACATTAACAATAATAATAAAATAATATAATAATAATAATAATAATAATAATAATAATAATAATAATAATAATAATAATAATAATAATAATAATAATAATAATAATAATAATAATAATAATAATAATAATAATAATAATAATAATAATAACAATAATAATAATAATAATAATAATAATAATAATAATAATAATAATAGTCATAATATTCTACCACTTTTCCATGTAGTGGAAATCGATAAAACAAAGATATGTTAACGATTATGTTCGTTCTATTCGATGTCAAATTTGAACCACTCCAAAACTATAACACGAAATTAATAACAGTCATAGTTGGTATTTCTTACTTCACATGAATTCTCAATATAAGTGTTTCTTTGTAGCTCTACTAAATATGCGATGCTAAAAAAATTAAATAAATATCAGGAATATCACATTTTGGACAACTTCACATTTTAAAGAGATATTTACCTCACATTCCAAAGAGATATTTACTTTTTATTCATTTTCAACAATTCCAGAAAAATAGTTCTCTACAATCCTCAATGTGGAAGTGATAATTTTGCTACAAAATTACTATGTCTTCTAAGTCTGATATCATACTCAGGATTATTGAATTTTTTAGATTAAAAATCCTCCTCAACTCAGATTACTTCCCTCGACATTAAGAAATCGCATAGGAGTAGCTTTAACACACACTCACACGCGGGCAAACTTTCCATTCTCTGGCTTTTTAAAATATTTTCCATTTCCTTTAAAAGCTACTTGAATAATCATCCATACACATACACAGCAACAACAACAACAAGTATGTGTTGTGTTCGCCCCAAAATGGCGAGAGAGGTAAGTGCATACATTAGTTATTCTTTCACGTGTGAAAACATTCTTTATACGCAGTCAACACTAATATGCTACGACATCAACAACATTTGTAACACTACAACATGGCAAGGCAACAACAGCAGTCATACTAAATACAACAACGCCAGTTGGCTGTGCATTGATGCAACAATATCGGTCGGTAGGTGGTGATGGTGGCAACACATGGAGGCATTCGAATTTTTCCTATTATTTCCTATTTTATGCAACAAGACCAACAATGGCGACAGTGGCAGCAAACAACCTCAAACAGCCGGTGTTGCTACTTTACTGGATGTTGGCAAAAAGTCAAAGTCCCAGAAAACTGATAGTCAGACAAACAGTCAGCCAGCCAGGTAGACATATACCAAAACAAAGGATAAAACTCTAAAGAGAACGTGGCTGCTGTAGCTTTTATTCCAAAATGCTGTCTATGTCTTGAAAGCTGTTGTTGAAGTTGATTATTGTTGTTGCTGTTTTGTTACCTTACTCTTGTTGTCGTTGTCGAGTGCAATGCAGTCATGTATGCAGGTGAATAATATAAACAACAACGACACCAGGCAGCACAACAACGCAGTCGGAGTCGTAGTCGCAGTTGTAGTGGTAGTAGTACCTGTATCACAACAAGAACCAGTAACACGGTAGAAGCAGCAGCATCATCCATGGCATAAAATACTGAATGAAACATCTTAAATTCAAACTCAGATACAGATTGAGACAGGCAGACAGACATCCAGCCAAATGGGACAGACGGCCAAACAACCAGACAGTTAGTCGTATGTTAGATGTGTATGTTATGGTTTTTTATTTATACATAAATGCTAAAACATCACCGACATAGTCTGTGGACGGATTGATGTTACAAAGTTTATATTTGCAAGGCATATCCTGGCTGCTGTTGTTACTATCTATCTCTTTAGGTTAGTCTCTCGCTCTCTGTAGGCAGATATATGTGCGAATGTGTGTGAATCGGTGTGTTCGAGTGTAAGTGATTGTTGTCATCATTCTATTCTGAAGAATGTTGTAAAAAAATATGCAACCCTGAGTAAGCATGTAAATGCCGTCTACCTGTATGTCTGGAATTTTTTTCTCGTTAAAATTTATACTGAATATATGTATATATTTTTGTTTGTAAACGCATGAATGTAGTGGAGAAAATAAACGTATTCTGTTTTTTCTTTCTGTAGCCAACGAAGGTTTTCATCATGACAGGCAGCGAAAATATGCTTTGAAGATGTTCCTATTTAGAATAGGTTTATTGTGGGAGATTGCAAACAATTTGCAAACATTGGATTTTTTATCATTGGATATATCAAAATGTGTCACATCAATATGACAGGTTTACACCCCAAGGTCCAAAGTATGAAAATTCGGTTCAGGACATTGTAGTCGATGACTAGAGCGCACGATTATCCTCCAAGGAAGTATACGATTTTATTAAACTTTGGGCTTGATATGGTCCAGGGTGGAATCTTGCAAATACTTAAAAATCCGAGACGATATAATTGGTGAACTTGGTCACTAGTGCATTTTCCATATTTGTACTTAAAAAAGGGGCAATTGGTCAGTATAATCAAAATCAACAATGATGAAATTTTCATATTTGTGCCAAAATCTTATTGGAGTTATACTGAATTGAAATTAAAACCAGCAAGGAAAGGTCAAAAGTCGGGCGGGGCCGACTATATGATACCCTACACCACTATGCGTAATTAGTAGAGCTCACGTAGTATATGTGGAGAGTTCGTATGATTTATGTGGATGAACAAACTAACATTGCTGTGTATTGCATCGGATGACTTCCATAAGGATTATATTAAAGAGAGCTATAGCTCTATCTGCACCGATTTACTTTTTTTTTTTTTTTTTTTTTTGTATGTCCAAAGTATGAAGATTCGGTTCAGGAAATTGTAGTCGATGACTAGTGCGCACGATTATCCTCTAAGGAAGTATACGATTTTATTAACACTTTGGGCTTGATATGGTCCAGGGTGGAATCTTGCAAATACCTAAAAATCCGAGACGATATAATTGGTGAAGTTGGTCACTAATGCATTTTCCATTTTTGTACCTGAAAATAGGTGAGTTCCACAAGAGGGACATTTGGTCAGTATAATCGAAATCAACAATGATGGAATTTCATTATTTGTGCCAAAATCTTATTGGAGTTATACTGAATTGAAATTAAAACCAGCAAGGAAAGGTCAAAAGTCGGGCGGGGCCGACTATATGATACCCTACACCACTATGCGTAATTAGTAGAGCTCACGTAGTATATGTGGAGAGTTCGTATGATTTATGTGAATGAACAAAATAACATTGATGTATAATGCATGGGATGACTTAGATAAGGATTATATTAAATAGAGCTATAGCTCTATCTGCACCGATTTTCTCCAAATTTGATGTACTTGCTTCTAGACTGCATTCGATTGGATGTACCAAAATTCAGCTCATTTCGACTGATATTCGACATTTGCTGCACATGGAGCTATATCCTAATTTGATCCGATATCGATAACATTTGACAGAAGTATTTTTGAGCTCCATAAGTTATCTGGTACCAAATATCATTTTGTGTAGTGTGCATGTGAGGGACTTAAAACCCCACATCGGATGAAATATATATGGGAGCAATAGCGATATCTGAACCGATATAATATATCTGATATTTTTGTTTCTAGGATGAATTCAGTGAGGATTTCCAAAGTTCAGTTCATTTGGGCTGATATAAGACATTTGGTGAACAATTAAACCGAAATCGTTTGTTGATATATATGGAAGCTATATCTAAATTTGAATCGATTCTCACCAATTTCAATAACGTTCGTCCTTGGGCCATAAAAATATTGTTTGGAAATTTTCCAAATAATTAATTAATTTTCTAAACAATATTTGTTTGGCCCAAGGACGAAATCTATTGAAATTTGTAAAAATCGTTTCATATATATCTTCAACCGAGTTCGAATAATAAATGCGACTTGCATGGACAGACGGACGAACGGACAGACTGACTGCTTGCCAGCTTAGAATGTGATTCTATGAAGATACCCAAAAGTAACTATGGGTCTATCTCGTTTCCTTCTCTATTTGACAAACAACTGCACACAGATAAAATACCCTTACCACTATGTGGTGTAGCGTATATGTAAATATCTCCAAGCTCCTGCATGACCATGCTTTGGCATTTTTATTAAACACGTCAAAGTTCTCTTCATTGTGAAATACCTCATATATTAGCAGATACATCTTTCTACGTCAGTGCACTCGCTGACGAACTGCACTGAACTCCCTTGCTTATATTTTTTTTGCTGTTTTCTTTTTTTCCTTTACTCAACTTTTTATAAAGATAAGATGCAATCCAGGAAGTTTTCGATACTGTATCAAGGAATTGAATACATAATTTGAAACTGTAACTTACCTCACATATTGATTGGCTTATATTATGTAGATTTAAGCGAAATATACGATCCCTGCAATGGAAAGGAAATAATAAAATTTTAGTAATGGTGTACAAAATAATTTGGTAAATTGAAATATGTAAAACGGAGATATATATTTTTTGCCTTAAGACTTATGCATTATTTATAAAATAGAGTTATTAGACTATAACAAATAAATTATCTACACCAACAGGTAGATTTCGGGAGTAACTTTTCTTTACAAAAAATATTAACAAATTTAAAATAATTTAAGTAATAGGGGAAAGACATCGGTCGGGCTATATTTTAATTTATATATAAAAGAGTAGTAAGATAATTTATTGATTGACTGACCCAAGATCAACGCCCAGACGAAATGGCTGAAGTTCGAATTTTGATATTTTGCACGAGGGCCAGTTTTGGTGCTTATGTGTAAGCTTGGTACAATAAAAAATTAAGGTAGAGCTACCAGCTGATTGTAATTTTTTCAAAGTGTGTCCGGCTCCTGCCAATTTTCCTAACAAAAGCGGATATAGTCTCAGGTCTGTATTTCTGTACTTTTACAAATCTGTTCCATTTCTTTATGGTACCATAGTTATATGATTAGTCTTAGTTTTTGGAATATCGTACTAAATGGGCATCGAATGTACTAAACTAAAGTAAAAATGAAATACTTTGTATGAGAGTCACGGATGGATTGCAGGATATGTGTATCAAGGGGCTTTTGGACATTCGAATTTTAAGGCTATGAAAACTTCTAAAATGTAACCCTTTGGTTTTATGTGAACGGATAGAGCCAGAAACAAAAACTAAAATGAGAATCAAGGTTGGGAAGTAAGTTTGATATATGAAGGTGGTCTTGGAAATGCGTACTATGTGAGCAAACTGTACTAAATTTGGAATAATTTGGTTCAGGTTGAACGGATGAATTTTGAAATTAAGTATTAAAGACCCTGTTGGTGTTGAATTTGTGTTAGGATGGTGGTTTTGGAAATGTGTTCTACAAGTGCATGAACAGTTCCAAATGGTACAATATTTGGTACAACTCGGTATTGGGTGAAACGATTGAGCTTAAAATCTGAAATTTAATTGTACAATCGTGTGTAACCTGTGCATATGTATGTGGTTTAAAAAATATGTACTATAATTGTACGAAAAGTATTGAATGGTACTATATTTCATATTGGATGAAGGGAAAGGACTGAAATCCTCAAATTTTTTATTGAGGTCTCCCTTGGTATCTGGAATTGAAAAATTGGGGTGGTTTGAAAATATGTATCATAACTGTACGGAAAGTACTTAATGGTACCAAATTTGGTATTGGGTGAAGGGGTAAGGCTGCAATCCTGAAATTTCATATGGGTGTCAATACTTGTGTCTTTAGTTAATATATGGGGGTGGTTTTGGAAATGTATGCTATAATTACTTAATTGGTATTACGTGAAGATATTAAATTGGAATCCCGAAATTCGATATTGAAGTGTCCCTTGGTATCTCGAATTGATATTGTGTAATAAAATTTTACGGAAAGTACTAAACGGTCGAAAATTTGCGGTTGAGTGAAGGGGTACGGCTGGAATCCTGATATTTAATATGGATGTCAATGTTGGTGTCTGTGTTTGAGAGAATGAGCTGGATTTGGATATGCGTACTATAATTGTACTAGATTTGGTAATGGGAGAGGGGGGGGGGGGGGGGTTACAAAGCTGAAATCGTGAAATTTGATATTAATGTCACTATTGGTATCTGAGGTTGAAATATAGAGATTATTTTGAAAATTCGTAATATAACTGTTCGAAAAGTACTAAATGTAGGGTTGGGTGAAAACGTGAAATTGTGATAACTGTTGGTGCCTTGGATTGAGATATGGAGGTGGTTTTAAAATTGAGTAGTTAAATACTAAATGTTACTAAATTTGGCATTGAATGGATGCATAGAGCTGGAATCCATAAATTTGATACTAAGGTATTCGTGGCTATCTGGTGTAGAGATCTGGTAGTGTTAAATAGTACACAATTGTGATCGTCGTCTAGGATAGAGGGATATAGATTGTGTTCGATATTTGCGTGGAAAATGTTACTAAATTTCGTATTCGGTTTTTTGGGTAGAAAAATTCGATGAGGTTTTACTAGTATACTTCTTGGTAAACTTCAAAATGAAACATTTTGAAGACTTTTTGGTTAAAAGTGGGTAACAGTTCTCCTATTGTTGTTTCCGAAAAAGGAAAAACTTGAAAAATTTTAAAATTTCGAATGTCTGAAAGTTTAATACGATATATGAAATTTTGATTTAAAAATTTTGCCAAACTAAAGAAATTGTAACTTTTGAGTACTAAAAAGTCAGAACACGAATTATTGCAACGAATCTAAAATTGTAAGGTGGATGAAGTAGTGTCCACGTGCCGGTGCCCTATGCTATAAAGGCAGCTTATATATAAGTATGATATGAATTTTTTCTAGGTTTAAAGTTTTAAAGTTTAAATAAATGATAAAAAGAGGTGAGATTTTAAGAGAAAATTTGGTTCCTCTTCTATTGAGCTTACGATCTCGTCACTTGGGTAAAAAATGTTTTTTGTCATAGAAGTTATTTTTAAAATAACTTCTGGGGAGAATATCCCAGACAAAAAACAAGGGAACTGATGAGGATTGGTGGCTCTTTCCGAAACCTAGGTATTCCCTGCCTTACCCCCTGGTAAACATTACCTTCGTTCTCCACTAATAAACAAACGTTGTTTTTATAAAAACAACAAAAAAGGGATAAAGCCTGACCACTTTGCAACAACAAACCGAACCGAACAAACAACCCACACTGTTCTAGAAAATTTTATTATTTCATAGATTTTCTTCAAAAATTGTAAAATATATCAGTTTTTTTTTGTGAAAATTCTGAAAAATTACATTAAATTGAAAAACTAATTTTCCTTTGACAAATGCCCACATAAAATATTTATCTATTTTCATCTCATCATTGGTTTCGTGAGACATGCTATATTCCTTCCTTCGCCATTCATCACTTTGAGGCCAAAGAAATTACCCTTAGAACGACCACAGGAAAATAAATGAAAGCAAAACCAAAAAATCACTTGCTGCACCACCAACAGACAGATAGACAGACAGTAATGATATTTTAATAACTTAACAATCAGTAGACATAACGAACGAAAAAATCCCCAGGTTATATGGCCAACATTAACATCAATCTAAGGCCATTAATAAAAACCCAATTCGAAGGGAGGCGTTTTTCTTGCTTGTTGACTGTAAACATATGATTATTTCAAGCGTTTACAATCGATTCGAAACACAAGCCACCTACTAAGCCCAGATACACAACACATTCACATGAATTCATTCACATACATACACACGAATATTTCAATCATTTTTCATTTCTTTCCACAGAGTTCGAAGCTAAATATACGAAGGACATGACATGTACGGCAGCCATATACCGACTCGAATTCAATGTCTCGTAGGCATTCCACCTTTGCCGGTGGTAGTATTGCCAAGCCAAGCCAAGAAGCAAAAAAGGTAGACGAAGACGAAAAAAGGTTAAAAACCATAATGTGTTTTTTTTCTCGCTGCTGCTTTGATACATTGACATTTTAAGGCTTTAACCTAAATACCACCTGATGTCTTCTTGAACTTTACAAACTGATTGATGGCTTTAGACGTTTTGTTAATATCTACGTGCTTGTATGTCTGTGAGTTGGGTTACGTGTTATGTTGCTACAGGGAGTGAATTTGTGGTAAAAACAACCAGAAGACGCTTGTCTCACACGCCAACACACACATACACAAGACATCGACTCTTATGTGTGTGCACACATATTCATTCACTTTACTCTTCAACAAGTCACCACCATTGATTGCCAAGGCTAAAATCTATTAAAGCCTTGGCACCAGTCAGTCAGGTGCCACGAGCCGAAGATTAACCCAGCCTAAATTAGAATTCTATGGAAAATACAGCCTTTTTATTTCCAATTCTAGGGAAATCTTCAATGTCATTTGCCGTAAATTTGATGACTTCAGTTTGTCTAAATTCTGGGAAATTGTCATTGGTTTTTATTTTCGGTTTTGACACAATCCTGTCAATTATTTGCAGGAATTTTCGATTGAAATTTTCAATAAGTCATTGGAAATCATTTTATATGCTTCAAATATTAATAGACAGAAAAAATGTGTTTTTATTTCACGTTGTTCTCATTATTTTGTTTTCAAGGTTACCGGGCTATAAACTATGGAGATGTGGGTGGTTGTGAAGGTAATTTGAAAAATGATAATAAATTAAATTTAAATCAATATTTATATAACGACTAAATGCCAAGTAGGAACGTATATAAATATATTTTTAAAATGTATACTTTTTAATATTAAATAAGAAAATTATTTTTTTTATTAAATTTACCAATTAAATATGGAGTTATTAAAAACATATATGAATCATATATGTTGTCACGAAGGACAGAAAAATTTTGATAAAGTTCAATACTTGGAATTTTTTACTTTCGGATGGGTTTTTTGTATTCTGCGGTGTTGGAGTTGTTTTACCTTACAACACTTTGCATTGGGGTATTATAAGTTTGATTGGGCCAAAAAATATGTAACGAAACTATATATGGATCTGCCTATCTCGCGAGATGAGTCGGACGCTATGTATGTCCGTCAGTCTGTCCATGTTAACAAGCAATCACGCTACGGGTCATACTTATGGCTCGATGCTCACGAAGTTGGAAATAGAGATGGGGATAGGATCACAATAGAAGCCTATTGTTTTTGGAGATGATCACGAAATATTTAGTGGTGTAAATGGACAGAAAACAGAAAAAACTTGATTTTGCTCTTGTTCTACAGGTCTCAGTTTTAAACCAATCGACGGAATTTTGCATGAAGTTAGAGTTTAGGGCTCGGCAGAAGCCTACCAATTTGTACAGTCATCGGACAATATTTAGCGGGTAAAATAAAGTATAACTTTTATGACAAAAAAATACGAAAATTTCCACTAAATTACATCTGTTAAAATTATTCCAGTGACAGCTCATTGTTTTGTCTACA